GATGTGTCTTTGACTGGTTTTGAAATTGGCTTCACAGAATRTGTTTGGAAGTGTTCCCTCTTTTTCTATTTCATGAAATAGTTTTGAGAAGTATTGGTGTTAGTTCTTCTTTAAAGGTCTTGTGRAACTCAGCTGTATATCCATCCGGTCCTGGGCTTTTCTTGGTTGGTAGGCTTCTGATGATGTCCTCTATTTCCTTGTGAAATGGATCAGTTTAAATTTTGATTTAGTTTGGRAATATCATATACCTCTAGAAATTTGTTGATGSCATCGATATTTTCTATTTTATAGACGTACAAATTTTCTAAACAATTTCTAATTATCTTCTGTATTTCTGTAGTGTCCCTCATAATATTTCCTTTTTCATCATGGATGTTAGTAATTTGAGTTTTCTCTCTCCTTCTCTTCATTAGCATGGCCAATGATTTATCAATTTTATTTATTTTTTTCAAAGTACCAACTTTCTGTCAATTTTTTCAATTGTTTMTTTTGTTTCAATTTCATTAATTTCAGCTAAAAGACAGGGATGCCCTCTTTTACCACTTCTATTTAACATAGTTCTTGAAACTCTAGCCAGAGCAATCAGACAGTCAAAAGAAATTAAAGGGACACAAATAGGAAAAATAAGAATTCAAATTGTCACTATTTGCAGATGATATTATTCTATACCTGGAAGACCCAAAACATTCCACCAGAAATCTTCTACAACTAATAAATGAATTCAGCAAAGTAGCTGGATATAAAATCAAAACCTATAAATCAAAGGCATTTCTGTATACCAAGTGACAAGTCCTCAGAAAGAGAAACAAGGAAAACCATCCCATTTAAAATAGCCTCAAAAAATTAAATAAGTAAATAAAATACTTGGAAATCAACTTAACAAAATAGGTGAAAGACCCACAWTGAAAACTGCAGAACACTAAAGAAAGAAATTAAAGAAGACTTTAGAAGATGGAAAGATCTCCCTTGTTCTTGGATAGGCAGAATTAATATTGTCAAAATGACCATATTACCAAAAGCACTATACACATTCAATGCAATCCCAATCAAAATCCCAATGACATTTCTCATAGAAATAGAAAAAACAATCATGAAATTCATCTGGAAAAGTAAGAGACCCAGAATAGCCAAAGCAATCCTTAGCAAGAAGAGTAAATCTGGTAGTATTACTATTCCAAACCTTAAACTATACTACAAGCAACAGTAACAAAAACAGCATGGTATTGGCACCAAAATAGAMCTGTAGATCARTGGTACAGAATAGAGGACACCCACATAACTACAGTTATCTTACATTAGACAAAGCCGCCAAAAACGTACATTGGAGAAAAAATAGCTTCTTCAACAAATGGTGCTGGGAAAACTAGAAGTCCACATGTAACAAAATAAAATTAAACCTCTATCTCTTACCATGCACAAAACTCAACTCAAAGTGAATCAAGGAGCTAGGAATTAAACCAGAGACCTTGTGCCTAATTGAAGAAAAAGTAGGCCCAAACCTCCATCATGTCAAATTAGGACCCAAATTCCTTAATAAGACACCTATAGTGCAAGAATTAAAACCAAGAATCAATAAATGGAATGGATTCAAACCAAAAAGCTTCTTCTCAGCAAAAGAAACAATCAGTGAGGTGAATAGAGAGCCTATAGCTTRGGAGCAAATTTTTACCACTTGCACATCAAGAGATAGAGCACTAATCTCTAGGGTATATAAAGAACACAAAAAGCTAAACACCAATAAAACAAATAACCCAATCAATCAATGGGCCAAGGAACTGAGCAGACAGTTCTCAGAAGAGGTATAATCAATCAACAAATATATGAAAAAATGTTCATCATCTCTAGCAATTAGAGAAATGCAAATCAAAACTACTCATTTCATCTCACTCCAGTCAGAATGGCAGCTATTAAGAATACAAACAACAATAAGTGTTAGTGAGGATGTGGGGAAAAGGCACACTTGTACATTCCTGGTGGGACTGCAAATTGGTGCAGCCAATCTGGAAAGCAGTATGGAGATTCCTTGGAAAACTTGGAATGAAACCACTATTTGACCCAGCTATCCCACTCCTTGGTTTATACACAAAAAAACCAGCTTACTACAGGGTCACAGCCATGTCAATATTTATAGCAAAAGTAGGCTATAAATATTGAGGAAAAAGTAGGCTCAAATTCACAATAGGTAAATTGTGGAACCAAACCAGTATGCCCTTCAGTAGATGAATGGATAGGGAAAATTCGGTATATATACAYAATGGAATATTACTCAGCATTAAAAGAGAATAAAATCWTGGCATTTGCAGGTAAATGGATGGAGTTGGAGAATATAATGCTTTGTGAAGTAAGCCAATTCCAAAAAACCAAAGGTCAAATGTTTTCTTTGATATGAGGATGGTACTCATAAAGGTGATGGGGGAGGGGAGCATGGGAAGAATGGAGGAACTTTAGATAGGGCAAAGGGAAGGGAGGGGGCAAAGGGATAGGAATGATGGTGGAATGAGTTAGACATCATCACCCTAAGTACATGTATGAAGGCATGAATGGTGTAAAAATATGTTGTGTACAACCAGTGACTTGAAAAATTCTGCTCTATATGTGTAATATGAAATGAATTACATTCTGCCATCATATATAACAAATTAGAATAAATAAGTAATTTAATAAAGAAAAAAGGGATTCTATATTTTTTTAAAAAAGATTCTATAGCTAAGATTTTAGAAACTTCTGTTGTCTAAATACAAATCTTTTCATTATACAATCATTCCTTGGTATCCTCAGGGGATTCGTTCCAGGGCCTCCCCTAGATACTAAAACCTGAGGATGCTAACATTCCTTATATAAAATGGCATACTATTTACACACAGTATATATACCCTCCATATACTTTAAATCATCTCTGGATGACTGATAATACCTAACACAATGCACACAGTTATTATGCTGTTTAGGGAATAATGACCAAAACAGTCTGTACATGTTCAGTATAGATACTGTCTTGTGTGTGGAGCTTCTTTTCTTTTTCTGGGTTGTCTTTCTGTGGTTGGCTGAACCTGTAGAGCAGAACCCATGGATACAGAGGACCAACCGAGTAGGTAAATTCAGAGGTCCAAGAAATAGTGCTGTGAGCCTCATCCAATACTATAATCTAGATCAAGGGGAAGAAGCAACCCACGAGGGCCTCTATCACTCCCATCTTGTATATTTAGTYCTCAATCACTTGCCGATTCACTCCTCACTGTAGCGGGAATTCAGACGGGCTGTCTCCCACTGCTGTGGTCAATCAGCCTTATGAAAAAAAAATGAATGCAAGAATCACTTTAGAATCACCACATGTAATACATAAATTATTGCAGCTGCTTGTTGGTTACACTGATGTTAGTCTATAAAACAGATATTTCTGCAACTACAGTGACAGTGACATGTTACATGTACACTAACAGGTACTTAACGTGGTCCCCCTGCATTTCTGGCTTTTGCTCATCACTCACCGTCATTAGGCCTCCAACAAGATCACTGGTATGAGGATCTTCATCTTTGGTACCCAGCTGAGGCGAATATAATTCTGTGGTCCGTAAAATTTCTAGAACTCTGTCCAAGGCTTCTGCTACTGTGACTGGACTGTTTTCTTGGGCTGCRTTGATTATATTTATAACCTACAGAAGAGAACAAGAATAAATAAAATAAATTAATAAATAAATTTGTGGACATAAAGATGCTACTTCTCAAAAGTCATATGTAGGCCTGGAATCCAGAAGAATCTCAGTGGATGACATATCTTATTGTTCTAAAGTCACTTCCTCCCATTTACTGAAGCATGCCTTGTGTCCCATGCTTTCCTATGTCCTCCCACCTCTGARCCACATTTTTCCAGGCTCCTTGGTTGACTGTTCTCTAGCTTTCTTCTCCAGGCTAGAGATCCTCAGAGACTGGTCTGGTCCTCTCTCTCATTCTGTGGACCTTCCATAAATGATATTTTGTTTCCATGTCTCTGGACACATATGATCCATAGCCAAGAATCCCAAGTAGACCTCCCAGCCTCTGGACTTGTAGATCTGGCTAACTGTCTGACATACCTAGTGGAATATCGTACGTGTCTGAAAGTAAACTCATGATCTTGTTTCCCTCCCTCACAGAGCAAGCAAATAAACATTGAAAAAAAAAAAAACAAAGACAGAAGCTGTGCTCCTTCTCTGTTTCCTAAACTGCAGTCGAGAGCACTTCTATCCACCTCATGCTCAACCAGAAACCTGGGAGACCCTGCTTAGCATGTTGCTTTCCCTCATTCCTCTCCCCACCCAGACCTCACCAAGTCCAGTTGATTCCAACCCTAAACATTTCTTGATCCATTCATTTCTCTCTACCTCCACTACCTGAATTCTATCCCAGCTACCTCATTTCTTCCCTGGAATTTGAGAAAGACCCTACATTGGCCTTTTGCCTTGTACACTTGCCATCTTGGATCCGTTGTCTGCATGGCAGCTGAGTGTTCTTTTTCAATAACACCCTGATTATGCCACCCCTACTCTAAACTCCTCAATGATTTCTGCTGCATATGGACTACCATAGCCTTCTTATGGCCCCAACTGACCAGACTGAGCTGARCCCTGCGCAACCCACACCATTGTCTTCTCCCCTCTACTCGCCAAGCTCCTGCTTCCCTGACTTCCTTTCAGGTTGTCTGAAAAAATATCTTAGTGCTTTCTTCCTTGCCATTCCTGCTCCCTGCAGTCTTCTCTGGACCAACATGCTTCAAGTTTTGCGTCAAACTTTTCACCCCGCCTACATTCAGACTCTACTCTCATTTTCTCTCAGAGAGTACTGTGATTTCCTTCAAAGCATTTACTGTGTTTTATTACTGTACATTTATTTGTTATATGTTTGCTTGTTCAATATCTGTTTCTCCCACTAGACCATGAACTCCATATCATTTGTAGAATGCATCTCCAGAACAGAGCCCAGGGACAGGGGGCCCTGACTGCAGAGAGAAGGCAGCACCTGCCACTCACCTTGGTGATGGGAGCCTCAATGGTCATGGAGTGGATYCTTGCCATGGATGGATAGCGACGATTCTGCAAGCTTGGTGCTGGCGAGAAGGAAAGTAAGTTGCAATCTGGTTCAGGCTCAGCATGGCCAAGTGTAGCTCAGAAATCCACAGGCCAGGAGCCCGACTCTGCTGGGACCACCCTCCCACCAAAGAAACAAGGAATTYACACTCATCTCTTTTTCCTAAAAGGCTGACAGCTCACCTTGACTAACCCATGCCAGGAAAGACATCTGGCCTGGGACTTTGGCAGCAGGAGGGCTTGACAAGTTCCTGGATCACAGAGAGAAGTTCAGAGAAGGCTGATGGGATCCTAAGGCCTGATTCCAACAGCCTAACGATCCCCCAGGACTTCCATTTCCACAAATCACTAAACCTCCTTCAATTCTGTCATTTTCAGTCCTGAGCTGCTGGCCACATGACTGGTTAACTGTGCATCCTGGTGGGAAGGTGTAGGTCACGGCCAGGTGTGGGGTTACCAGACCAAGCGCACTCACAGTGCCAGTTGGGGCTACTCAAACTTTCTTCCTGAGCCTTTAGGTTTAGAACACCCAGAGCCCATGGTGGTTCTAGCTGTTATCTGTAGAAAACTTCATTTAAAAGTAAMTTAATTTTTTTTGACTAGGTAACGCTTACATGTGGTTTAAAATTCAAGAGGTAGAACATCACTTTAAAGGTACTGGTTTCATGAGATTTTCTCACCTCCTCTTGTGAGGCAGGAGGAGGGGTTGGATCTCCATTTCCTAGATGGGGCAACTCAATCCAGCCCATATCAGCAGAGTTGCCCACTCCAGTACCCAGGTGGCAGTCACTGAGGGCCCCGCCTGTGCTCTTCCACCTCCATTTTGCCCATGTGGGAGACATGATGATACCCCCTCGAAATCTCCAAACACTGAATTAACCCAGTTCAAATTAGCTCGTCCATGATCCTTTTCATCTACATGCTCTATCTAATTATATCCTCAACCTATCTCAAAATAGTTCAATCTGTATTCTCTATGGAGCATACTTAGTCTCAATCATTTGCGTTCCATGTCAGCCAGTCCATTTTTTTCTGTGATCATCTCTAGACTCCGCATTTCTTGCTATTGCAGCCACTTCTTTTGACCCTTCTATTTATTCCTTTAAATCTCTACCCTGCACCTCTCCTTTCTCTGACAGGTAATAGCTACCTCTTCTGCATGCCCTTAGACCCTGTCCTTCCAGTTGCCAAATAAAAACCAAATAAGGGCTAGGAATGTGGTCCAGTGGTACAGTACTTACTTAGCATATACACGGACTTGGAAGCAATCCCCACTACTACAAAAAAACCCACCACCACAACAAATGAATGAGTGAAATCTATTCATCTGTCCTTGGTTCTAGAGCTCTGATCACCAGCATTTAACACTGCTGGCCACCCTGTTTCTTGCCACGTTCATGTTCTTGCCTGGTGACACTGTGCTCACATGGCTCACTCCCAGCATCCCAGCATCTCTGTTCTCTTCAATCTCCCTATTTCCTGTGCTTTGTCATCACTGAAGGTGGGCCTTCAGGCTTGGGCTTAGGCCCTCTGTTCTTTTACCACACCCACAATCCTTAGAGAAGTTCTTCTGCACATGGCTTCATCTGTACTTCTAGGATTCCCAAACCCACATCTCTAGCCCCAGCCCCAGTCCTGCATTTCAGATTCCTAGGCATCTCCACTGAAAAAGAAATCATCATCTTCTCTCAACCCCAACCTGGCCACGTCTAGAGACTCTCCTATTTCTGTAAGTATTATTATAATTTCCCAGGCACCTAGGAATGACATTTCAGAATCGCCCTTGACTTTTCCATCTCCCCACAAATCCAATTGGTTTGTTAGCCTGGTTCATTGAACTCAAAAAGTGTTTTCTAAATTCTGCCTCGTAGGGCAGAAATGTTTTGCTGAATTCTGACTCACAGTTTCTGTGACATTTTATTAAGGGAAAGTAAGTGCGTGCAGCAGGTACATGGAAAAACGGGTGTGTGTTGGAGTTGGGAAGCCAGGACACTGGCTCCACCTTAGCCACTAGTACCAAGAATGACCTTGGCTAGCTATGGAAACTGAGCTGCTTAGGTGGTTATGTGGCCTGACACAACTTAGTCCATGAAGGYAAACACATACAGAGCCTTCAAAAAAATAGATAAATAAGTAAATAAAGGCAAAGATTATAAAAGGCATAAAAAAATCTTAACAAAACTCTGAAAACTTTTCAGCTTACTTAGGGATGGAGGGTGAGGAGCCAGTTTAGTTAAAAATCTTTCTTCTTGGAATTTGTATGCTGATGGATTCTTGAACACGTTCCTCTGTCGTTTTCTACATTTTAAAAAGGCCAAAGAAATCATCAAAACTTCTTACCATCACTGCCTCGAGATGATATGGATTTCACATCAATGGACTCTTTCCTTCTGTTCTTATATCTGAATGAATGAGGTTCTGAGGATTTCAGATCAGAAGAGGAGAAATGATTACTTTTCAGCACATTCATAGGTAAAGTTTACACATTTTTCTCTTATTCTTTAAAGAACACAAGGTTACTTTTTAAGCTTTAGAAAATAATTTTAGCAAATAATAAACCACTTTCTCTTCAACTCATCAAGACACAAAATTACTTGTCCTATTAGTAGTAAAATGATGACTTTTTCTTCGGATGCCTTATTACATCATGGACATAAAGTTTATCATAAAGGGTTATTTTACATGAGTAAAATTATCATTTAAAAAATAACCATTACAACTTTAAAAATTTGGGGAGATTCATCAACACCCACTACATCTCTTCATTCACATATGGGTCTCTTTAGACACATATAGACTTTATCATATTATTCACTACTTGCTGTTTCCATTTCCTAATGTCACAGGTAATTTTCTACATTAACTTTTAGTCGGGAGAGGGACTGGGGACTGAACCCAGCAGCACTTTACCGCTGAGCTACATCCTCAGCCCTTTCTATTTTTTATTTTGAGATAAGGTCTTGCTAAGTTGCTGAGGCTTTTGAATGTGTAATTCTCCTGCCTCAGCTTCCAGAGCTGCTGGGATTACAGGTGTGTACCACCACGCTCAGCTCTACATCAACTTTTAAAACCACTTTAYTGTCCTAAGAAATCTGTTTCAACTAAAAAATGGTAAAAATAAGAACAAAACCTAGATTGTATTTATACAGCACAAAGTGAAGGSAGAACTATAACAAAGTTAATCTGAACGATGCAGCCATATAACCTTGTCTTAAGTGACCTAACTGAAAATATTTACTCGTCCTTTGCCTAATTTTCATCTTCCAGACTCTGCCTGAATACCTTTCCTCTCCTTACAAAGACCTCTACAGACATTAGTGATTTAAGTGATATTATTAAGGTCACATGGCTTCTTCACAACCCTGAGAAACTAATTTGGTCATTTAATAAGACGAATGTCTTTAGCTTATTCAAGAATTTAATCAGCTACATTCCTAACATTTATTTACCAAATAATAAATCGAACTTAAAATTCCTCAAAATGTAGTTTCTAAATACAACTAAAAGCAGAGAGCTTAGTTTTAAGGCTATGACAGAGGCTGGCTGCCTGGATTCTCAACCATTCATTAGAAATTACTCAAAGATGGATAATGCTTATTTTTCCCAATTTTAACTCAGAATTAAGAGAATCTATAACAATAGAGATGATTAAAAGTTTGGAGAAATTATTCTTCAATAAAGGCTAAAATAATGCCATTTAAATCTGAGAACTCATTATTCATTCTTAACAGAAGCCTTGTAGAATAAATTTAAATCTAAAGTAGAGAAAAGAAGGATAAAAGGTGATTTAAACAGCCAAATTTGATGGCAAAAAGTGATATTGTGTCACCAAATAAAAAAAAAAGATAATTACCGCTTACTGATCACCTATTATGTACCAGGCATTGTTTTATATACTTTAAATCTAATAACTATCTCATTTAATAATTATAATTCTTAAAGTTACATAGTGCTATCTTCATTTTACTTATGTAGGTAGCCCAAGGTCAAAGAGCTAATTATGTASGTAGCCCAAGGTCAAAGAGCTAATAAATGGTGGAACCTAAGGTTTCCAGGATGAAATGGTTTCAATTGCTCAATGTGAATATTCATTGAGTGTCTATTATGTACAAGGCAATGCTGGGCACTGTAAATGCTCATTTCAGTTTTGGGCACCAGAAACTCATAAGTTTGTTAAAATAATACCTTCACTCTAAAGTGTTTCAAGAAACTAAAATATCTGGGAGAAAATCTGCCTGCATGTGAATGTCACCATGTCATCCAAGGCTGTTGTGGCCTAGAAAATTTTCAGAAAACGGGAAGGAAGATACCATATAGTTAAATGCAGGTACTGCTAGATAGTATACATTTTTTTCTTTATTCCCCATTAACCACAAKAAAGACATTGTTAATTTGTTTTACAAATGAAGACACTAAAGGTCAGAAAAAGCAAATGAAATCTTTCTGAGTAGGCTAAATATGCTCATCCTAGAATCAAGGAGAGAGAATAAGAGTTAGCCCAGGACCTGGTTTTAGACAACAACAGGCCAGAGAATGGTTGGTTGCAATTCTTAAAAGAACAAGAATTGAAAAATCTTTACTAACGGGCTGATTTTTTTCCTCTAATGGGCAGATAATTCCAGGCCTTTCCACATGTAGAAGTCCTGAGCTCCAGCCCCTCATTTTAAGGAGAAGGAAACCAGAGCACTGCCCAAGGTCTTAGGCAAGTAGGTTGGCAGCTGAAATAGGATCTCAGGGCACCTGCCTACCAGGCCAGGGCCCAGCCACATTTTCTAATTGGAWGGTCCAGTCACAGTTATTGCAAAGAAAGGAAAGAATGGTCATAGTTGAACCAACCCCATATTCTCACCTGCTTCCTATCCAACCAGAGTCTCCTCTAGACTTTTGGGCCACTCTATTTTGAATTTATCTGCTCTTTGTAATCTCTAACCAAGATGGGGGAAGCATGGATGAGGATTCAAGGAATCTTAAGAGGTCCTAAATTTGTCTCTGGTTCTCCAACCTTCCCATATTAGCTCTTGGATTTTAGCAATCCATGTTTTGGCATAGCAGATGTCAACCGAAATTCCTTCAGAGCAATTTAGACTTGAACCCACGAATGCCTTCTGAGTATATTAGAGTCAGATTGAAGTATTCTTACCTGTCTGAGAATTGTCTCCTGAATCACGATGAATCTTGTGAATCTAAAATCATGCAGAAGTTTGGAAGAAAGAAGAGAGATTTTTAAATAGAGCATTTGCTATATTTATCAAACAATTTAGTTTATTTAAAAAAAAAACTCTGAAGATTTCAAGAAAGCAAAAAGTTGCAGACAGGATGAACAGATGAAAGATGTACACCACGMGGCAAGACTACAAATGCTCTATCACCATCAGACACCCAGAACAGCTGAGCCTAAGAGCAGGCAAATACCCGAGGACCTACTTTCTAAGCAGGATGGCTACGCTCCAGTCAGCTGTTCTCATGTTGACAGTCTGCAGAAATGCAGAATGACAGAAAGCCATACCTAAATTTAAAGTAACATATATAACCTGTAATTGCTTCTCAGCTTCCTGGCTCAGGCCAAGTCTGCAGTGTCTCTCCTTATCAGTCTCATTATAACCTGTTTGTTTCAGATATTTTATAAAATGTTTCTGTAATATAAAAGTAATCTAAATTTTAGTCCAGGATTTTTTTCAGACTTTCCGAAAGGCCTTCAAATGCTCCTCAATTATAGAGCCAATTTATAAACTGTTTCTTCCTCACAATGAGATCTGAACTCATGAGATGCTGTTTTGCACCTATTTCTTTCTCATTATCAGATTTTAAATGATGCCATTAACACAAGAAATAAATATGCTTCTCTTGCTAGTGGTGGGGCACATTTTGTTCTATCACACTTCTAATTGTGCTGCTTCACTGCCAATTCCATTTGCTTCCATCCAGGGCTCAGACCATTAGACCTTTTCAGCCACTCAACAAAGGGACGAGATTAACTTGGAAAATAGGATGAGTGTGTGGGACCATCAGTGGAGGAAGGTTAGGATGGCTTAGCCACATCAACTGTAATGGCCAGAAATCTCACATGTATCAGACACAGGCAAAATGGTCYGGCCTGACAGAACACTGAAACATAAACGTGTAAAATGTTTAGTGTTAAAATGAACTATTCAGCTTAGTCCCTTTCCACATAATTACAGAAACAATTACATGACCCACCTCTGTGAAACCTTGGTCATTATGTCACCAAGGGCTATTGACTCAGTTATCCCATAATTTGGGGTCCTTTTATTATTCTGTGAAGTATTTTATATTTTCCTTAAAGAATAAAGACTACTTGCTATAAAGCTATTAAGTTAGGTGTGGATTTTTATACTATACTGAAAGAATAAAACTTTTGCCTAGTTTTGTTTTCACCATCAGCTCTAGCTCAAAAGCAAGTGATTTTTAAATGCTTACTTTTTCTCTCTGAATCAAAATCCATCTCCTTTTTAGGAGCAAGGCCCCAAAGCTTCCCATATTACCTAAAACCCAAAACCCCCTTTCCTCATATTTTGCAGACCCACAGGCCAGCTGACTGAACGATGGAGCTCCTGAAACCTCAACATGGGCTGTGTGCTGTCTGGAGAGGAACCAAATGAAGCATAAGGTCCAGCAGATTTGCAAACCAATCGGGTTTTTCTTGGGAGAATGTAYCCCATCCACTGAGGGTAAGAAGAGTGACTAGGGAAGGATGCAGAGCACAGGTACTAGTCCCATCTTCTGGGGTGTCTCTGCTGCATCTTTCTCCACACAGGATGCTGCACATGGTACTTTCTAAGCTGGATGCACTGTCCCCAGATTGGCTCATGGGCCTTTGAACTGCTCTCTCTCTGCGTCTACTGCCAGCAGGAGAGCCCAGAGATACTCTTTGCTTTGAAATCAGAGATTCCCCAGGGCTGCATCAGCATCTACTGCCCAGATCCTTTGTTGTGATTCACTTTGTGATGCTTTGAACCAGTGGCAGAACCAGAAGACCTATCTCTGTCACACCCCAGCAGTGCTGGGTTTTTAACTGAAGCTCTCTGATGATCTGTGTGCCTCTCCTGAATATTCCATTTTACAACTTGAGTTCACTTAGATGACAAATTCTCTTAGAATGGGAATTTCTTCTAGAGATCTAAACCCACCAGTCATTTATAACTTGGTAGGACTTATTCTATCAAAATTATTTTCCTCATAACCCCTAGTTGAGCTGAGAATATAAATAGGGGGATGAGTGGTTCTGTAGTTCCATGTTCTCTGTGGTGGGCAGCTCGGGGAGGCTCACAGGCTTGAGGACTATGGGGCAGGAAGAGGGTTAAGCTTCACCCTGTGACAACACACATCTCTTACATGTTTCCCAAGGACTGACAGCTTTCCATTTGCAATGTAATCATTACAACACCCTTGCAAGTGGGGAAGTAGCACCATTCCTTTGGACAGACAAGGAAGTTGAGGTTTTAAACTTCCCTATGACACACAGCTAGTACACAGAGCTCAACATCAAGCCATGGTCCAAAACCAATTGCTCYGTCAGAGAAAGGCTCCAGAAAGGAATTTTCATGCTTTGACTTATTAAACTGGGGTCTAAGGAAATATCTCTTGGATCTATGCACAACATCTATTTGAAAAATAATTCTCCTTGAGATTTTGGGGATGGTTTGAATTTCTCTGATCAAAAGGTTTTATCACATGTTTGCTAAAGCAAAAAGGTCAGAATTCAATGTACTCATGCCATCACTCTTTACACAGTGTGATGTGTTTTTCCCTTCATAAAATCTTAAAATGTAGAATATTTTCATGTGCAGAACTGGCGTGGAATGGTGACACTGTGCATTACTGGAAAAACAGAGGCTTTGGCACTATGGTTTATGCAACATGAAATCCACCATCCCTGGCCTGTGAAGTTCTCTGTCAGAGCTCAAAGCTAGAGTTTCTCAGCATGTCCTTGGGGACTTCCAGCTTAAGGGAGGACTCATAATTTTAAACCTTTAATTACTTAAAATACCATAGGCTGCCACAAATTTTGCTGTTGTGCTAAATGCTATGTTTACAAACACTTACTTATGCTTAACTCTAAAAAGCATTGTTTCTTAAAAAATAATCACTTAAAAATTATATTTTCCTCCTCCACACCCACCACCAGAATGTCTAAAACTAAAGAAAAAATTTTTTCAAGGATGAAGATCTACTGAAACCTTTAACATGATGTTGGAGGGAAYATAAAATGGTATGACCACTTTGAGAAAAGGTCTAGCAGGAATATGGATATGTATATATATATATATTATATATCTCCCCTATGACCCAATAGTTCTATCCCTAAGTATTTACCCAAGAAAAACAAGAGCTTTTATTCTTCAGAAAGACTTGTATAAGAATGTTCAAAGCAGCCCAGAGCGGGAAACAGCCCAGGAATCTAAGATTAGGAGAAGTACAATGCAGAGGATTGAGGCAAAAGAATAGTTAGTAATAAAAAGGGGAAAAAATTACTGATACACACAAAATAGATGAGTCTCAAAAACATTATGATGAGGAAAAGAAGCCAAGCACAACAGAGTGCACCTCGGTGAAGCTCTATCCAACCTATGACTAAACATTCACACATAGTGGTTCTATCTAGGGTGGGCAGGACAGGGGTGGAGGGTGCAAAGGGTCATGAGGGAATTGGGGGGACAGAGAAGCCTGCACTCTTGATGGCTCTGGGGTTGCAGAGCTATCTGCATTTGTCAAAACTCAGAGGAAACCATACTTAAGATTTGTACATGTCACTGTAAATAATTTCTACCTTAAAAAAACAACATTAAATTCCAGTTAGTAGGGCAGGGGATGTGGCTCCGAGGTAGAGTGCTCACCTACCATGTGTGAGGCACTGGGTTTGATCCTCAGCACCACATAAAAATAAAATAAAGATATTTATTGCGTTTAAAAATAAAATTCCAATTAGTAATATTCAAGTTGATCTGAAAATGTGCTGGCATTCATAACTTTGGACACCTGAGGATCTATGAAAAAACAGGATAGACTGGGGGATGTCTAGAGGGACCCAAACGGACACATGATTGAGCAAAATGCTAATGACTGAACCAAGGTGGTGGATACACAGTTATTCACTTAAAGTTCTTCCAAATCTTCTCTATGTCTAAAACCTTTCATAAAAATGTGTTTGGAAAATTGTGTGTTCCACTTAGTATAAGGTTTGATGGTTAAAATTCAGAGGTCTGAAGTACAATTTTAAAATCTGTGAAATAAAGAAGATGAAGGAAATTGAGAACAGCCTGGAACCAAATGAGGTGAATGACATGTCACAGTCTCTGGGACTCCCTACCATGAGCCTGGGCATGAGATGATGCTCTACATCAAACCATAACTAGGAAAAAAAAACATAACTAAGGAATTATAAACAGCAACTATCAATCTAAGAAGTGTAATATTTACTTAGGTAGCCATTTAAAATACTCATTTAATTCATTTGATTGATTTTATAAACTGTGGAGAAATTCTTGGAGGAAAGTCCTGAGATATAATGACATGAAAGCATCACTTTTAATGATGATGTGTTCAAATCAAGCTTTAAAAAAAATACTATTTTTTAGCAATTAAAATGAGTCAACCCATGGGCTGAGGTTGTGGCTCGGAGCACTTGCCTTGCATGCATGAGGCCTTGGGTTTGGTCCTCAGCACCACATCAAACAAACAAATAAAAACTAAAGATATTGTGTCCATCTACAACTAAAAAATATATTTAAAAAAAATGAGTCAACTTCAAAGGAAAAAAAATCAAACAACCCTAGGAATAACTTACTGATTATAAATTTTAAACCCCAAACAAGTAATGTAGAATTTGGTAGAGGAAAGAATAAATAAATAAACAACAATATCTAAAATGAGTCAAGGACAGGATAAATACAACAAACACGTCAGCAAATAAATACTTAATGCCTCCTTCAGCATTCAGTTTAGAATCACCTTGGGAAGGTGAATAGTATTTGGCAGCAAAGTGTGTGTATGATTTTGTCCTTACTGAACAATAAGGTCAAAGGTATCAGAATCACAATTAAATCAACAGCTACCTCAGTCTTCAAGCATGGATCCTCCTTCTGCTTCCTTTTCTTCCCCTAGGCCTGTGTCCAGCCCATCATCCCATCCTGTCAAATCTCTTTCCAGTACCCCTGGGATCACCTGCATCTTTCTAGCATCAGAATACAGGCTACCATCAGTGCTTTTCTGGACTTGCCAATACCCCCAGCCCAGTCCATCTCAACTTTATAGCCAGTATAAGCTTGCATAATCCCTTCACCTTCTGCTTAAAAATCCCACTTCTCATTGGTCTTGGGGGCAACCCTGGATAGCAATCTGGCTGGAAAGCTCTGCCATTGGCCTGGCCCCTGCCAGCTCTATGGCTGGGACTCTGCCCACTACTGTTAGCCATGGCCATACTGGCTTCCTTTCCATTTCTCTAATTCTCCCATGTCCTTTATTACCTCATGACCTTTGCATGTGTGTCTCCTCTGGAAGTTTCCCAAATCAGTCTTTGTCCTCCAGATTTTAGCTCAGATGTGATTTGCACAGGAAAGGCTTCCCTGATATCTCCTGCCCGTCTTTACAAGGTCAAGCCCTACTGTCACATGTTCTCAATGGACTTTTCTCCTATTGGATTTACTGTAGTTCACAACTTTGCATTTTTTTGACTAACGTCTGTTCCTCTGCCAAACTATAAGTTCTATGGACAGGAGCTATTTCCAATTTGATGGCCTTTGTATACCACTGCTAACACAGTCCCTAGTACACAGAGCTAACAAATATAACATGAATCCATAAGATACTGAGATGAACCAGACTCTTTTTACCTTAGAGCTGTGGGGAAGATATTGTTATTAATGATTTGGCCATCATATTGGTCTTTGTTGATTATACTTAATGTTTATGCCTCTGAAGAAATTAATTTGTAAATTGTTTCATGATAAAACACATGAAAATTTACCATAAAAGGTGGTTTTTCAAAAACAAAAGCAAAGACAATATTGACTTAAAAAAATACATCCCTGTGCTCTGATGTATATAATCCTGCTACACAAATCAGACAGGCAAAGAGTTTTATGGGTGAGAAATCAAAGTCATCAAATACCTGAATGCAACCTCATCCCTGACTAGGTTCCCCGAGCCTCTGAGAGATTCTCTATTAACATTTCTCATTGGATTCAATAGTAATCCAATATTACTATTATTAACAAACAAAAAATGCTGTTCAAATCCATCCATAGATTTGTAATAAAATTGGAAATGACTAAAGTATTTCTTGATCTCATAATCAAATTCTGACGTTGATAAAAGATCTGGATCAATGTTTTCAAACTCAAAATTTATTGATATTTTTCTGTGCCCCCCCCAATGTTATGAAAAGGGGTAGAAAGTTGATTAATATTAACAAAAGTACTATTTACTTTAAAAATCAGGGTAGCTTCAAAGTTGGCTTATTAAGAAATCCATTTTTTAAAGACTAAACATTCTTATCTAAAGCTTCCCAACAAAACTAAATGCTTTCATGCATGTGACAAGACCCCTTTGATGAGGAGAAGTTCTAGTGCTGGATGAATTGATCTGAGCACAGAAACAGTCATTTGAGACCCTCCCTTCATTTACATGTAATGAAATAGCAGAGTGGTGTCATACAGAACGTCTTTGATCATCTTTCTTTACTGAAAGTACTTTGATGAGTATTTTCTCAAAAAGTGAAAGGATCTGATGCCTAGATCAAAGATCTTTTCTGTCTGCTCTGTTTTCAAAAACCATTTCAAAACACACTTCTCAACACTCATACCCAAGCAGTCCCCAAACACAGGAACAAAGTACCTCATGCAACGTCCTGGGTCCCTGTCCCCATGATACCTTTGCACAGCCATAGACAAGCTGTGGCCACTTGTGTTCATGTATTCTGAGCTTCAGTTCTCAAAATCCTGGAGCATCAAGACAGAAGACGGTTTGCACAGATGCTGAACCTAATCTTTGGGGTAAGTTCTCTTAACATCAATAAATTTTAAGATTTTAATAGGCCCAGCACAACAGTGTCCCTTCTCTTTAATCTCAATGGCAATTAAAAATGTTATGTATATCAAAGCAACATGGATTGGTTTGATATGAGTGAAAGGGCATATGAATTTTTAAGATTTCACAAGACTAAAAAGAAAAATTCCAAGCTGTTTTATCAGATCGTTTTCCATATGCCAGACAAACCTAGGTTTCCTCTCCTCTATTACAGATATTTTCTTGGAAAAGTTTAAGCATCCCTCTCCTGTGCGATGCCAGATCAACATGTTCAGTTACCCCTGGTGTACCTTGATCAAACATATCTGATTTCCCAGGGCTTTATTTGTGCCCACTGGCTCTACATTCAGCAAGCATTTTTAAGAGCCTTTATAGAGAGGCACTTTCATGGTTTAGCCCAGTGATAGTCATTTTCATATCCTTATCTCATGGAAAAACAGTAATGCAAACTGTCATTCAGGCTTAAATGTTATAACTTTCTTCATTTGTCCAATTTCTCTTTGAATGATTTTCAAACACCTATGGTGAAGTGCCACTGTACTTGATAACCTGACAAATACTGAGTTTTGGATCAGAATGGCCTGGAGCCCTGTTAAAACAGATCTCAGGCCCCCTGTGCTCTGATATACATAATCCTGGTACACAAAACAGACAGGCAAAGACCAAGCATTTGGGTCTTTTGGAGTCCTGGGTCAGGCTCAAGCCTCAGGTAGGGACCATGTGGTAACGTGTGAACACCTTTATGCTCCAGGTATGGTTGGTTCACCAGAGATGTTGGAGACACCAGGGAGTCTGTTAAAACTATTAACTCTTTGTCTCTCTCCAGACTCAGGGAATCAGAATCTACATTGTAACACTTAATCTCCAGGTGATTCAATTACACATTATAGTTTGAGAAACACTAGTTAAGTGAAAAGATCACAGGTTTTCCACAACAGATCTTTTATGCCTCCATTTCTAGTTGTACAGACTGAGGTACTTAGAAGCTTCACCTGCTCTCAGTTTCCTTAGGGGCAAATGGTGACCAATATCAACTGTATTGTAGGGTTGTTCAGAGAAACAGAACCATCAGGGTATATGGAGAGATATACAAGGATGGGGGGGGGTTATGATGCAAATTGGCTCATGGTTTACAGAGACTAGAAAGTCCCATCTGTAAACTGAAGAACCAGGCAGTCTAGTGGTATAAGTTTGA